GGGGGGGGGTGGGGGTTTTGAATATCAGCCTTTAAGCCTACCCTAAACCCTATACCCTACATAAATCCTAACTACTGTGGCCGTTGTTTCTTTCTACTCCTCTACATATACAACCGAATAAGCCCTTTTGGGAGGGTAGTTGACTGTGGATCGGACATTCCACAGTTCATCGCAAGTAGCTACATCAAAGGCCGCAGAAAGCACAACATGTTTGGAGTTTGGAGTGTATGCAGATATCCACTATGCTTCTGAAGTTCCTCCATGTAGGCGACTATGTTCCATCCGCTACCGATCTTGTTTCGTTCCGCTGCCTTGGGGTCAAAGCTGTTCCACGGCCTGCAGCTCACGTTTGGGTTTTGGGTTTACGTATGGTTTGGGGTTTAGGGGCTAGAGACCTTGTATGCTGCCCAAAACCCCTTCCACGTGCTGGTCTAACCCAAGGCCTGAATCAATTGTCGTATTGTTTTTGACGACATGAAGGTTGCTGGACGATGGAACCATGTGGTCTCGTGAGCTCTGTAGACCGTCCACACAGACCAAGCATTCTCAAAAAGCTGTTTCAAAAGGCCCTTATCGCTCTGCATCTTTTTCCTGGTAGCCATTCATTTCAGAGGAACGTACGAAGGATTGCTTCAGAGGATCCAGCTCCGCAGTCAAGTGCACCATCTGCACACTTCTCACCTTGGCTACGAGGTACGACATGTAAGGGGGTTATCTAGGGGATAATGGAAAACAAAATGGAAACTGCTATATTATGATAGGGTATATTTTGGGGTTAGGGGTTATATGCTGTAACCATCAGCCTGCACAATCCATCATAGCAATAATATCATAGCAATAAGACTACCTGTTCAGTGCATAAATCTGCAACCGTCAGGAGAGGAAAGTAGGGGAACAGCAAGCAAACATAGTATCAGCCTTAAACCTGAGATCCAAAACTCTGATCCTCAAAGCCTAGCCCAAAGCCTCAACCCTAAATCCTGAACCCCAAACCCTAATCCCTTAACCCTATCAGGTGGCTTCGAGCCCCAATGATGCCACAATGGCCTCAGGGGCCGGCAAACGGGTTTTCAGCGTGGATGGTAGGTCCACATAGCCTTGTACAGTACTGCAACCGGGGAAGGTGAGGAGCTCCACAGGCAAAGAGCCACTCAGAAGCCCACTCAGTGAATCTGTTCTGTTGCCACGATCATCCTCAGGCATTCCGATCATTGATTGCAGGCTTACTTTCCAGCAACCCATCTCAGCCTGGTGAGCAGGGAACAGCTTGGAGTCCAATATCACGATTTGATGCAGAGAGTAATCCAAGAAGATACAGAGTTGCTTGTGAATCGGCAGCCATGCAGACTTTTTGGAATGAAGTGCGCGCATCAACTGATCAACTGAACGCTTCGTGAGCATGGAGCATCCCATAGTATGGAAGATCCCGACCAAAGCTTCCTCCCAGAATGCCAGCGGCCACGAAGCATATTCGCGAAACGGAACTATCGCGCCATGCGGAAAAAAACGCACGGAATTCCAGAAGGGGCCAAGGATCTGCTGATCGATGATCTGCTTCCAGTCTTTCGCAGACCGCCCGACGCGCGCAATGTTGCGCAGCGTTCCTAAGAGCTGCGTGTACAGGGACTTTAAAGCGACAATGTGGGGGCAATACGGGGGATACTGGAGCATACTGTAATTTGGTCTTGAAGCTTCTGAACTAGTTCAAGGGATTATCTTCAACTCAGGGAACTTGACACACAGGAAAAGATATTTCCAGATGGGCTGCTAGGACTAAAGCATGAGCGACCCGGAGCAAATAAAAACATCCCGCACCGCAAAGGGGCCGACCGTTAGAGTCTGGGGTTTAGGGTTTAAGGTAACATCTTGGGGCAGAGGATGTTTGGGGATCTTAAGCATGAATTTTGAAGGGTTTCTACAGGGGGAAAATGCGCCGCAGTCTTCCCAAATCTTATGGTTTCTACGTGAAATTCCGCCCTGGCTCTCTGCCCAGAAGTGCCACTCATAGCCGGGAGCACCTGGCACAAAATGGGCGGCGTGGGTGGGGGTGCGTTGTGCTTCTGCAAAGGCCTGAAACAACGATTCGACTATTCTGAAATGTATCATTGGGATTTCTTACTCATTGGATTTTACTACGATTTTTGAAATGCATGGCCGCGACTCTTATTTTACGGTTCCCCGAATACATATCACTTCAAGGGTGTTGTTCCGCACGACCGACAAGGTGTTTTTTCAAATAGCCGAGCCGGGAAACAAAAGGAACCCAGATGCATCTTTGGAAAAAATGACAACCTTACATCAGAAAACCCGAGCAGCCTAAAACCCTGAACCCTAAACCTAAAACCCTAAAACACCCTAAAACCTTCAAACACACTAAAACCCCGACCCTAAAACAACCTAAACCTTCCTATCTGTCGGTAAACTCCCACCTCCCGGCGCAGCAAAGACCTCCTCGACGCGGGCGCATCGTTGTTTCTGAGATGTGGGATGCGATGCTTCCTCGCCTCGGTCTGTGCTCAGTGGAATATAGGGGAATTAGACGTTATATAAGGCTTCTGTGGGGGCACTATCAGGGCTTATATAAGGGTATAGGGGATACATTATTGGGAGAGCCCTATACAGGGGATATGGGTACCCATTCGGGTAATATCAGGGCTACATTTATTGGGATAAATGGAAAAGGAAATGGGAAACTACTTTACTATAGTTGGGTATACATAAGAGCTATATTGAATTGCTGATTTGAACGCAGCTCGAACGTGCTCTGAACAGAAGGCCACGTCCGGGAGAGCAGTGCTGCACGAGCCTGCACAGCGACGTGGTACAGTCCTGTGCCGAAGCTCTCCAGCCTGGAAAGCTTTTCACGCACAAAGCCACCCTCCTCTGACAGGGGTTGCGCAGGGATATTTTCAGGGTTATATAGGGGTTTGCAGTAAAGGGGTATAACAGGGAAGTGTCGCACGCGTAGGTGAAATTTTTGGCAGTTGTCCAACAAGCGGCGGAACGACAACCGATTCTTTTTGACATGGGCAAACTCATCATGTTCGCAGTTCACATATCGCCTGGAAACCACACAAAAATATATGGAAAAGTTACAAGGCCGACTAAATCCCAACATTGTCGTAGAGCCATCTACCTCGAAGAGGTGTAGCAACATAGAAGCGTGTACCTGACTGCAGTGCAAGCATCACCTGCGAAGAACACCCTTGAAGCAGCACACCTCCGGAAACAATTGTGGAGTCCAAACGCAGTTTGCTCTCTAGCCTGCAGCTGCCAGAAGCTGCTTGGCACTGACGTGCAAAAGCCAGGCCTTGCACAAGCTAAACTCCGTCAGAAATTCAGCACAAGCACTCAGCGTGAACAATTGCGTCGTTTTGTTCTCCACCAAAACACCAAGCCCGGACCCAAAACCAAACACGCTGCGACGCCCAAAACTTCTCGCGGAAGCCAGCACGCAGAACCCACCGTGGACCAGCCACAACCCTAGCCAAGCCACAACAAACCCCAGCCCTAACACACAACACCACAACGCGGCGACGCGCAAGCACCCTAGCAAACCACACCGTGCCAGGCTGCGCATTGCAAGCGGCTAGCAGGCTCCAGCTGAGGTTGGCCACACCGGCGCGCAGTGCAGCGGCGTCATCTTCCTCGATTACCATGCGGTGCGGAGGAAGCCAGATGCTGACCACTTGTCCTGCGCGCGTGCGGTCAGGGCTGTTATCCGCGGTCTCCCGCGTGATACGCAGGGTGGACCGGGAGCCCGCCACACTCACGCTGGACGAGGGCGCATCATCGGAAGAGAGCCTCGAGCGAGCATGCGTCCAAGCTTAATCTGCTTCTCAACCACTGTACCCAGGACCGGGCTCAACGACATGCAGCTCCACAACAACAACTGGCTGATCTGCGTCCTGTTGGCTTCGCGTGCGTTGGAGTTGTTGCTGACGCAAAAGCTATCGAAAATCCGGATGTCGGAACACGCATCAATCACCTGCCTCCGACGTTGGAGATGGCAGATCCTTACAGGAAGTAGGGTACTGTACACTTTTTTGGGGTGCTGCAACCAGTATATAGGGAATGATGGAAAAGAAAAATGGAAACTACAATATTTTTGAGTGGAGAATAAAGTGGAAACTACGATTTAGGATTTTAGGTGTTTCAAATAAGGTTCATCCGTGTGTTGCTGCCTTGGTCTGAGTTTGGTTTTATGTTATATACGCATGATAGGGGTTGTATGGGGACAAATGGGACTGGGAGAGAAAATGGAAACTACTCCGGTATGTAGGGTGCTTAGCGCTTGAGGTGTTAGGGTTTTAAGTCTCAAGGCTGTGGCGCTTTGAGTTTCAGGGTCAAAGATACCACTTACCCGCTACAAGGCGTACAAAAGAGGCTTGGGGTGTTTATGTGGTCTTGGTGGCCTTCAGTAGGGTTGAGGCTTTAAGCTTTGAAGTTTGGGGCTGGAGGAGTTTCACTTCCCCTTGCAAACAGGAGAGTGCACTGGACATGAAAAGTGTCCGCAACTAGAAGCCGCGTGGCGAAACTGTAGAGCACCTTCTTGGGCAAGTTGAAAAACCTGGGTTCACTATGGGTTCATGAGTGAATAGCCCAAATTATCCTGAAATCACCAGGAGTCAGGGCAAACTTGGGGAGTTGCATGAAAAAGACGACGATTTGAAGAATCAAGGATTCACTGGAATCTGAGGTACTACCCGCGTTCCGGCAGTAAAACTTACTAGACACGAGACACGTGTTGGGTCAGATCTCAACTCTATGTCTTCAAGAGCAGGAAAGCACGAACAAGTAAGCGGGCAAGTCAACCTCAAACTACTTCAGAGACCTACTGAGCAACCCGTTAAGTACGTTGGAGCCATGCGGGTTTTTTCATGAATAGTTACGGGCCTCAATATGGACCCCGATGTACGGTGGTCCTACTTATACGGACCGCAAAAGAACCATTAAATTCCACTCCCGACCCTCGATCCTAGACTGCAAACATCAACTATCATGGTCCCCTTCTGGATCGAAGGAAATATTCAGGGTACGCAAAATAGCGGTCATAATGTTGAGACAGCCCCCCAACTGTAGCCAAAGAACGGCCTCCACACAGTCACACCTTCAAGGCACGCCTCTGGCCCCAGCGCAGGGAGATGGAAAAGGCTACGGCCCATCCTGTGCCCAACTGTGAGGCTCTGGGGTTTAGGGTTTAGGGGTATATAGGGAATGGAGAAAAATGGAAATTGCTACGGTATTTCGGGTTTGGGGTCCCACAACTACAAGGAGGACATGGGACTGAACAGGTCTTCCTACTATACCACTCTTGGTGGAGGGGTCATAAGCTACAAACCATCCGGAATACTCAGAAGTACACTACACCCAAACCCTGAATCAAAACCATCAACTTGCTGGTGGTTAGTAGGGAATACGGGAATACTATCCCTATGTAATCCCTATAGAGAATATATGCACTACTAACCCTAAACCCTACCTGAACTATACATACATATATATATGTATATGTATAATGTATTCCCTTACTCCTTACTAACCCCGGGTAAGATCAACTGCCAGCTCAGCATCATCAGGTTTGACAAAACATTTTCGACGGCATCATCCTCATGGTGTCCAGTCCTCAGTAGCTTTGAAAGTAATGTCTATGGTTTGGTGTTTGGGATTCTTTCGTTTAGGGCTAAGGCTCCCTGAATCCTAAACCCTACAAGGGGTCTCCAGCCAGAAAACTCCTTCCTTAAAGAGGAGTAGGGGGGCGGGATCCACAGAGTGCCAGACCGTTTAGGGTTTCTCCCTACAATCCTCGTCTTGTGTTTCGAAGTATGGAACCCTCTAATATTCCCCACACCTGATCCCAAGATATACCCAATATATCCCTATCTCCTGAACCCCGAACCTCCCAACCCTAGACCTGGGCCAAACTAATACTGCCACGCGGTTTAGGGCTTAAGGTTTGGGATTACTAGTGTTAATGGAAGTGATAACAAGAATACAAAAATTCCCATGTTCCAGGCCCCAGGGTCAGCACAGCCAAAGCATCGCTTTTGCGCACAGCCTCATGGTAGGCTTCATAGCGCACCTTGCGGGAGAAGTCTTCGAAGATAGCCCGAGACCTGGGTGTTGATCCAGCTTAGGGTAGGCTTCAGAGGCTGCAAGAGCTACTCGTTTCTTAGATTCAGCCGTGCGACCCGCTTGGGGAGACCCCCAATCTCTACAGGTTTTGGTTGTCTCTGGCTCTAAAACTCTTGAGATCTCTCAAAGTCCTTCTAAATAACCCTAAATCGCTCTAAGTCTTTCTAACTACATTCAACCACTCTCTAAACCTCTCTAAGTTGCTCCATGGATTATGATCAGGAGTTACAGCTGCTTGGCTGTTTCACCGTGCTTTTAGCTTGAAAATTCCGCTGTCTCTTCTGGCATGGCAAAATTTTGGCTCCCAGCCGGCTTGACTAGATCAAAATTCAATGTCAGCACTGTTTAAAGACAGGCGCTCGATCCTGCGACTATTTGTTTAATTACATCTCATCCCCAGGCGTCGCTGACAGGTTCAGGCACAGTGGCATTCTGGGCGTCTGATGGCGCGACTTGCTGATGAGATGGACTCGTGAAAGCCAGACCCCTGCGCCCACACCCCAACCCTCCTGAGAGGCCGACAAGTGACATTCAAATTCAGATCAACCACCTACAAACTCAAAACCTGAATTTTTGCCTTGAGCTCTGTGCTATTCTTTACTCCGGAGAGAGGGACCAAGGTGGGTGGTGAACGCACATCCTTCGGGCTACTGTGCACAGTTCTGAATAGCTCTCCTTCCCGGGATTCTACCGTGGTTTAGGTTAAGGGGTTGGCAACCATGTCAATCTTCCGATAACTCCTGTATAGCCCCTATACAACTCCCATATAATTCCGTGGGAACCCCATATAGCCCCTATATCACTCCCGTATAAGCCCTATATAACCCCATAGAACCCTGCATAACCCCTATCACCTTATAGAATCCCCATATGACCCCATAGAACACCTAAACCGCAAAAGCCTAAACCCTATAACAGTCCCAGTCAGGTCGAAAGGCTGAGGCTTGGCTGTTGCATCAGCGAGCCGGATGATGGAAAGTGGCAGGTCAACCTTCTGCGCCCTAGATCGCAAGCCCTAGGGGGCTTAGGGTTTGGGGTCTAAACCCCACACCCACCCTTAAACCCAAGGGGTTTAGGATTTAGGGTCTCAACACTGTTGCGGGTTTAGTTGTTTAAGGCTTTCTTGGGTGTAGGCTTGCGGGCCTAGACTCTCGACCCTACGCCCCGGACCTGCTGCGCCCAGGTCTCCACAAAGCTGGCTTCCAGGCTGCTGTTGGGATGCCTTGAATATGTTTACGGTTTCAGGTTTAAGGTTGAAGGTTTAGGGATCTGTGATGGGGCGCTACTTACAGATGATCAATCTCTATGGGGTTCCGGTATACAGAAACACAACATGTCCAACATTAATCCAGATGCGTGTTGTAGTCTATGTGCACAGCACTCAGCTTCAGGTGAAGCTCGGGTCTCAAAGCCACCAGGCAATGACTCAGGACCATGGAATCCACCTGGTTGCTCCTGGAGCCCCAGAACAAACTCTCGATTTCTTATGGTTGCCTGGGTTCAACTGTGTACTGCTTTGTTCTAAAAAAGCTGCCTCAAAAAGCGTGAACCCTTAAATCCCTAAGTGCTAAAGACATCCCCCAAGCCCCAGAAGCTTAATTGCAAAGCAATGCCAAAAAAAGGAGACCGGCTGACTCCTCCGGAAATGGACAGCACCAGCGCACTTCCGCGCTCGCCTGTAGCTCCCTACTGCTGTCAATAGGTCCTCCTGGAATACTTTGACCCATATGACAAAACCGTCTAAACTGCTTTGCAGCGGAAGTTTGTTACGTAAATCCGTGAGAAAAGACAGAATTGTACCGGCTCCTGCAGATGAGAATACTTTCAGTCACCAAAAAACCCCTTGTGCTATAACCTCTTTTTACGGGTCCATAGATTCAGCTTAAAAAGGCGAATGGCCCATATTAGGGTCCCATACTTCATACCTCCGATCACCTAAACCCTAAACCCAAAACCTAAAACCCTAAAACCTAAAACCCTAAATCCTAAACCCTACAACCCTGAAACCCTAAAACCCTACAACCCTAACACCCTAAAACCCTAAGCAGGCTCAAGTCGCACCGACTCCTCAGGAAGCGTTCTACCTCTTGACACGCATCCTGAGTCTGGCCGTCTTCATCGTATCTCCTACCTTGGATCAGTATACCCTCCAATCGGGTTTCTAGGAGTTTTACAGGGGTATAAAGGAAGGGAAATGCGGAGAAAGGGGACTTAGGTTTAGCAGGCAGATGATCTTACCTGGTTAAACCCTTGAACCCACGACCCTGAACTCTAAACTCAAAGAATGAAGTTAGCAAGTCTTTGGTCTTCGGTTGAGAGGTTGCGAAGTTTTCGTTGGGGAGGCGACACAGGCCCCAACATGTGTAGAGCTCACGTTTCTACGGGTCAGGGTTCAGGATTTAGGGTAATGCGCTTGGGGCTGAGGGCTCCAAAATTGACATGTGATGCATGAGCTGCGTTTGGTTGCACAACTCCCGGTCAGAAGCCTCTGGCAATCACATGAGCTTCTGTCAAGAGTACTGGACAGCCGGTTCTGCATGTCAAATGGATACCAACCTTGTCATAAGACATTTCCCCACATGTCCCAACAAGCCTTCATGTCAGAAACTACTTAGGATGTAGCTTTCATGAATCCTGACCTGAAAGGTTTGGCTAACTGTCTACCCTAATCTGTAAACCCTGAGCCCCTAAAGCCCAAGCCCCAAATCCTAAGCCTTAAACCCAAACCTTCAATCCAGTTTGGCTTTGCCGTAGGAAAAACTCACAGGCGTTATATTTACCCGAAATCCAAGACTTGCGGGTTCAGAATCCAAGGCTCAGGGCAGGGAAGAGGAGCTTTCGGGTTTAGGAGGTTTAGGCTGTATAAAGGTGTTGATATTTTGAGGAACTTACGGGATTCAGTGTGTAACCCTACACCATACTATTATTACTACAATTACTATTACTATTATTATTACTACTATGACTATTACTATTACTTTTTACTATTACTGTTATTATTACTACTATGCTTATTAAAGGCAAACAGCTGACCTGTTACGGTGGGGTAGGCAGCAAAACTTCACAGTGTCATTCAGGAGCCCAGAAACATGTTAATTCACAGTTGCGGTTTACGGTTTGGGGTTTAGTGTCTAGGTTTAGGGTTTAGGGTTTAGTGTCTGGGATTTAGGGCTTCGGCTTGACTTTTGGAACAGCCTTGCAAAGAAGGATTGATTCTCCTTTTGCTGACAGACAGAAGCCTGAAGTGAAGAGGGGTGACTGGACTCCATCGTCCGTCCGAAAAAATCAGGTGCAAGAACACTAGACTACAACGAACATTTAGCTTGAAATCAGCCCAGTGTCCGCAGTACAAAAACCTTGGATACTAAATTACATTACTAGCTACAACTGACTGGCTCGTCATTTTCCTTGAAGGAGACTCCTTGTCTAGGCCCTCCCAAGTCTTTGATCTGCCATGATATCCCAAAACCTGTCCATGACTGCATCCAAACTGCGAGGAGCGAGTACTTCATCAAAGGGACCAAAGCTCTCATCCTGGTGTTGCTGCTGATCTGTAAAGGTTATCCTCAACCCCGATTAGACTACAAACACTTAACAGTCTTGTCCCGTGAGCTTCAAGATCCGAAGAAAGCGTTGAATCCTTCATTCCCTGAAGGAGAACAAAATACTATAGTCCTTATTATGGGGACCCCCAAAAGGGTACCCCCAATTTTAGGAGACCCCCACATTGGATCATAGGAGTGGAAAGAATAAATCAAAAAAACACGGAACACAACGTCTTCCTGCCGACATGAACAGCACACATTCACCTCCAACTGGGAGGTTCCGAAAAGTAGGGGTACCTGGGATCATTCACCCGCTCCGTAACTGTCCTTAAAAGGTGCTTTATTAAGGGGCTACTATAACTCCTATGATCCAATGTGGTAATTGTTACTTTCATGGAGATTGTAAGGCCCCCCCAATTTGGTCAGCCTAAACCCTAAGCTCAACTGCTTCGACCGTGGGGCCCTATAGACAAGCTCCGCAATATAGACCCCAAAATGCTATCCTCCGTGTTATGGAGACCCCAGACCCTAAACCCTAACCCAAAAAAGAGATCTTCCACATGTCGCCCAAGCCACTGAGCGCACTGGCAGCATCACTCTGCAACCCCTGCGCCAGCGGCACACAGAATCATCGATCTCGTGGCCTGTGTCACTGGTTTAAGGGTTTGAGTGTTTAGGGGTGAAGGGTTCTTGGGTTACGTACAGGGCTTGGCGTTTAGGGCTTTAGGGTTTAGGTTTCCCTATTGGGAGACTTTTGAGAACTGTTAACCACATTTTCCTTATTGCCTGCATTTGAGGGTAACAAAAAATGGAAAAACTGGGTTCCACCAGGGCTTGAAACTTAGCAGTTAATGTTTAGGGCTTAGTGTATAGGGTTTGGGGTTTAGCGTGTAGAGTTTGGGAAATAAGGCTTAGCGCTTACGGCTTGAAGTTTGGAGTTTAGGGTGTCGAGTTTAGGCTTTATGGCAATCATCTTCAGGTAGATAACGTATAATGGATGAAGCAAGTCTTTTCAAAAGGCCTGCGGTAATCATTGTCAAGTCGATAGGCATATGGAATGAAGGAGGTATTGCAGAAGCCTGAAGAAGTACCGGTGGCCTTAATTAAGGTTCATAAAATATCTATACTGTGTAGAGTGCTTATAACCCATTACCCCACACCGCCCCCTGTTGTCCAGTGGCCTGGGGTCTGGGTCTTGTGCTTGCATTAATTAGGTTTATGGAAGGTTTGTAGAGGGCTTATAACATGTTCTAGAGTGCTTATAGCTGTTCACAACATTTTCTAAAGGGTCGATAACAATTCCTAGAAGATTTTAAAAAAGCTGACCAAGCCGTGACAGTGGGTACTTTTAAAATGCGACAACAGTACGAAGTTTCAACAGAAACGACCGTTGCACATCGCGATCATGAGAACCATTCCGACCCCTGTTGCTGCTGGTACTATTGACTATTGAGACTCCGTGAAAGCACGAGGGGCTAAAAGTAACGACAGTTACGGGGATAGCGGCTTTGAGGCAAAAAACGACGACAGTTGCAAGGATGACGAGCCCGAGGAGCCCCATCCCTGTGACTGTTGACACTTTTGCAGCTCGGGGGGCTGGGGGGGGGGTACCAGGGGACGCGGCGACGCGGCACATGTATCCCCGGTTTCCATTTCGTTTTGCATGCTCCTTCAAAGTCCTGAGTTTGGCCTTAAACCCTGACTCTAAATCCTAAACCCTGCGTCTTCCTCATACACCCTTAGTATCCCCTACAGTCTTACCTTGCTAAAGACAAGTGACAGCCATCGTCTCTCGATCGTAGCCTCGTCCTGCGGAGCCATGGACTTCAATGTGTTTCAGGCAATTGCAAGCTTGGAAATTTGCAGAAGCCCTAAATCAAGCCCTATACCCTAAACCCTGAACCCTGAACCCTAAACCCTGCAAGCTTGGATCTTTGCAGAAGCGTCTGAAACTAGATGAATCGAGCTTGCTGTTGGTGGTGACTTGAAAGTTTCTCTCGCTAGTAGCAAAGGCGGAGAACCTATTCATGCTAAGCGGATATGCAAGCAGACCCCTGTCTTCATTCATTCAACCCAGGACTTGCTTGCGGGACCATCCTGGTGGCGCGGAGCCGCTGAAGCAGCGCATGACGCTCCGGAGAATGAGCTAGGGCAAGGTGGTTCATGCGAAGGTGTCCCAGAGCAGCTAGGACACCCACACAAATCAAATGCCGTGCGGGTCCGTGCAAGCCTTCCGCTGGTGCTGCAAACATGTTTGTTGATGTGGGTCCCACGAGACGTGCTCCGAGGCTCATGGAGGCCACATGGCCCAACGCTCAGTGGAAAATACTGCTCATACTAAAAGAATTCCTGCGTGTCCTTGATATGCTAAAATACCATAACTTCCACGGTGTCAGGTACTTGAACTGCCATGCGAGGCTTTTAGCATCAACAATAGTGCACGGAACATCTAATAGCTTTTAATAGGTGGATCCCAAACTAGACCCCAAAACACACAATACTCCTTATTGAAGGTCCCGCCCCCCCCCTTTAAAAATGCACCCCTAAGTTTTGGAATCCCCCACTTGGGCAGTTGGGACTACCCTTTTACGCCCAGTGCCATAGGCTGCGTCTCCCCTCGCAACCAAATGGCGGCTAGCTCTGAGTTGAGATTATACAGGGGTTTAGGGTTTAGGGTTTACAGATTATACAGGGGTTGTATAGGCAATAATGGAAAATAAAGTGGCAGCTACTACAAGGTAGTACTGGAGAATCAAACAGAAAAGGGAATGGAAATCGAAATGATAACTACTACACATAGGGATCGTGCTACCCTAATGCTCCAAGTCATATGGAAGAACGCTTGAGCCTCAGATGGCCCTAGCGGATGTCCATTCAAGCACAGCATCCTC